ATGGATTTGGTTCAATATTTTCTTCTCTTCTTTTGGTTTTAGTCATTTTTCTTTATGAATAATTATTATTTCCTTCGTTGGGAGATTAGAATGTAGTTCAATATTCCTTTCTCTTCTTTTTAGTCATTTTACTTTATACAATTTACTTATAATTTACTTTACTTTATAGTCATTCTGTACGAGTTCATAATGCAGTTCAATATTCTTTTCAATGTCAGTTATACCTCTTTGATGTTTACTTATAAAATTATTATAACGCAATATGCCATGGAACGATGCAAATCTCGATATCTCACTTATTAATAACCCTTTCGTGACACAGTGTACCTATTTAAAAATAATGAATTATTCAAAGCGAGTAATGGATTATCGATTCAAATAAAAGTTGTGTATATACACAGAAAAAACGTTCGATAAAAATGTTACAATATATTCCACAAGAAACACGTTAAACGATTTAAATCGAACGAACTCGCTTCTTGGAATCTTGTTCAACCACAGTATCAACTATGGTATTGGATAAAAAAAACAAGGTGGCATGTTTAATTCAACAGGTTCGAGGTTGGTAATCTTGTTACAAATCATGCTAGAGCAAAATGACATGTTTCCTTAACAACAAAAAATACTGTTACGCTTCGTTATACAATGTCCGACTATTTCCGTTCAAGTGATGCAGCGTTGATGATAGTTATTCTTTTTTTTTGCTACTTTTTCGTTTTAGAAAGTTGCAGTATCCTTTCGTCTTATTTACTTCCAGAGTTGCTTTCGGAGTTGCTGTCCTTTTTAAGAGTTCGGTAAATAGCACGATACTTCTTTCTACGTATATAGGTAATGATACTTTATTTTTGAAGCAACAATAATGCAATTTTGTGGAATTTAAACGAAATCCATTTCGACGTTATTTCTCACAAGAACATTAACACGACCACGTATGATTTAGAATAGTTTGAACTCATCCACATGCACACATATTTTTTTTTTTTTGATACAGAAAGAAGTCTTTTAAAAAATTCTATGTAAAAAAGAGGACATAATTATTTGGTTTACTATTCGCTTGGTTTTAATTATTCAGAGCTAAACTGATGATGTATTATTTCTATTATTACACTATTTAACAGTAGAAAAAATTAAAAAACGTACACCTGGGATTTTGCATTCACAGTAAGGGATACACAAACTACAAAACACACATAATTTTTCAATTTCCAGTGTAGGAAATATTGAAAAACGTACATCAGGAATTTTGCATTCACAGTAAAGGATACACAGACTGTAAAACACGCATAATTTTTTAATTTTCAGTGTAAACAAAAGTAAAAAACGTACCCCTAGGATTTTGCATAAAAAACACATTTAATTTCCAATATAATACTTTCAAACATTCCCCAATTATCGAAAAAAAAAAAATACAACTCGTCCCACGTCAGAAGTCACCACAAACACCACCAAAACTCAGCATTATCATTCCAGGATCAATCCACCGCGTCGATTCCATCCGCGCACCACCGTAACCGATCGGCGCTCGAAGAAGCCTTCGGTGTCGCATTAAAATTTCACCCCCGTAGCAGAGGCGCGTGACAGGGAAACCAGGTAAGCGCGAGCTTGGATTCGCGTGCATACCTGGTGTGTACACGGGCAAGCAGGAGCG